CATGCACATATAGCAAAGGTGAGACTCGAACCACCCACTTGTTGGAAATGCAAGTCAACCATGCTATCAACTGAATCACCAATTTCTCTACTAGAGAACAACAAGGACAGATTCACAACACACGGCCATCGTAAAGGTATACAATGAAAACTATTCTCACCATTCTTTAGCTAGTTGCTTGTATGCTCTTTTGATTTCAGTTTGGCTGCTGCTCCGAACAACCCCAAGAATTTTGTATGGGTCAAATTCTGTCGCACTTTCCACAGTACAATACACAAGCAGCAGGAATGTGAATATGTAACTCATTCGGTCCATCTTTTCACTGTAAAAGCAAGTTTCAAAATGCAAAACAGATGAAGTATTAATTTTAGCAAGCACAACATTTTATCTGACACAGCAATCTTTAGATGTATGTTAAAGAGCAGTAAAATAACGATCGAATTAATTGCACATATTACACAAACAGCAGCAAACGTTTGATTGTAAAGGCCCGTAATATATGAACTTAAGAAACTGCATGCAGATACAATGATGTATATGTGAAAACGACAAAAGAAAAATCATAATTTGTCGACGTAAAACGATGTGATAAAGTGTCAAAACTGCAAACGTCTTTTCTGTTCAAGTTATGAGTGTGTATCAATCTAGACACTGCATCAAAATAAACTTAACAGAGGTTACCTAGAAAACTAAACAATCCTTTTAGTTTAACCATAGATATTTTAGCAAAGGAGCTGAAATTTTGACTGGCGTTCGCAAAGTCGACAGCGATAATGTTAAACGGCAAACCATCTGACTAATATAACAACAAAACACACACACGCCCTGCTCGGGTAGGATATATTCAAAATGAGCAAATATCGCATATCTGCTGTTTCATCGACCACTTCTACTAACTGGTCTCTAATATTATAACCAGTTACCTGCCCTGTCTGTTTTTCTTAGCTACGTAGCGCGAAATCAAACCGCACGGCAGTTATTTCGCCAGATCCGCTAGTCCGAAATCAACGCACCATATTTGTTAACTCACGCACCGTAAATAACATAACCTTTTATGATTCATACATCGCCAACACAACGGCTTTCGGCACGGCGATCCTATTGACAGCTACATCCAGGCTGCGCCGCAACGATCGCACTCGCGCTTCCGGTTCTGTCAACGTACGCCGGCGTCCAATGTTTACGTAAGACGCACGGCGTGTCTTCGCTATGGAAGTGCGGACCAGAGCCTGGGAGCGGAGCGGTGATCATTTCCGCTCCTCGCTCACAAGGCTGTTGGTGCCGCCCGCTCCTCTTCTCTAATTCGCACTAAGCCGCTCCGCTCAACATCACTCCTCGCTCCACTAAAATTTCCTCCCGGTCCAGTCAAAGAGGGACATACACTCACCTAAAGGATTATTAGGAACACCTGTTCAATTTCTCATTAATGCAATTATCTAATCAACCAATCACATGGCATTTG